TGTGTGTGTGTGTGTGTGTCTGTCCGTCCGTCCGTCCGTCCGTCGGTCCGTCCGTCCGCCCGTTTGTCTGTCTGTTTGTCCGTCCGTGCGTCCCTCCGCCCGTCCGTCCGTCTGTCTGTTTGTTTGCGTGGGCGTGCAATGGCGTGTGTGTGCGTGTGAGTGTGCGTGGGTGCATGCACGTGTGTGTCTGTGTGCTAATGGACAAACTGCCCACCTACCCGTTTGTCGGGAAGTTCTGCATGACGCCGGATACCAAGAAAGATTGCAGAATCGTGAACTGGTTTTGCCAGCAGGATCCCCTGGCTGCTGCTGCCATTATTGTGCACGTCTTCATCCGCAGACTGTTGCTTGGAGTGTGGAAGGAGGGGACATGGAGATGGAATCGGGTAATGTCAAGTTCAGGAAGCCGTACAAACATGAAAATAGAACAGATTCGGACCCCACACCTCTCTTAGGCTCCTTCGATGCAGTGGCAGAGTTCCGCAGCGATCGGGTAACTCTGTTGCGTTTGGTTGAAGTCATTGACGTCAAGGCTTGGGTTTTTTGGTGTACTCGGTGCTGCCTGCGTCAGACCACCATGCCTGTGCTCGTTGCTTATGGCAGGTTTTCAGCCATGACGTTCAAGCTGGATCTTGAACTGTGAAATTTGATTACACCGAGAGTTCGAGTCAATGCCATTTGCGCCCACCCCAGGTGAAGAATGGCTTCGACCCGGCCAAGCTTGATGGCCTTTGGTATGAGCATCCCGACAGGAATGGAGAAGAAGGTTTATAATGCTATGGCCAACTGTGTCTTCCTAGTTCGGGTCTTTGGCTGCTTTGCTTTATCAAGGTGCGGTACATGTGCTCTGGAGCGACACAGAAGTGCCAGAACATGCTGGCAGGTGTGAGAAGAGGTATGTTAGGGCATGGTAGGCTTCAGACCTAGGCAGCTCTACGCCGACTTCGCGCAGAGCGGTGCTTCCTGCCAAGAGTTGGAATTCCGTCATGATGTTGGCCGCTTGGAGTCCAATTTCAGCGTCCTCTACCGCGGCGGCCCCTTCACGATCAAGGAGCACTATGAAAGCAAAGGTATGACTGGCATATACAGAAAGTATGTCTCGATTCCGGGAGGTTTTCCAGGCGGCTCTCTCATCGGCATGCCCACCGCTGTCGTGGACGTCATCCCCGATGGTTCAGGGACCAAGTACGAGGCAATGATTTTGTACTCTTGTGCCTTGTCTTTGAAAGTACGTCCGTGACATGGTTTCGCCCTTTAGCTGAGAGGTCAAAGTCGCCAGGATTCAGTGTCTGCACGTCTTCTGGCACTCGAAAGAGGGCCTTGCTCTTCAACAGTTTGCCCGACTAAGGCTGGTCAGAGCTGATGAAAGTAGTGGAGATTGCAACCCGAAAGCCCGTGGTCGAGGAGAGCATCCTCGAGGATCTTCTGCGAACCCTCTCGGACCTGAAGGTGCCCATCTCACGCGATGAGATCAAAAGAGTGGATCGCTCTAGCTGCGAGAATACTACATCATGGCATCTTACCTTGGGGCCAAAACTGCCTAGCCTATCAATCTAGACATTTACCTGGACCTCAGCTCCGAATCTGAGTCTCTTCATGCTTGTAGCCGAGCAAGATGAGAAAGTTTCTGTCTCGTTTCACACCCGAATTCTCGCATGTTGGAAAGATGCATCCGTTCTGAGGAGGCAGATGCACGTTCGACAGGCAATTGAAGGTAATCGGTTTTGGGGTTGTAACTTCGCAGGGGACACGGCTGATCCCGTGCAAGGGACTTCAAAGCTTCGATGCCAGTTGGGCACAGAAGCTCGCGGCCCCCATTAAAATGCCTTCTAATCATCAGCAAACCTGGATACATTGCCAACTGCAGACTACATGCCTCAGTCCAACGCTAAAAACTTGCACATGCAAGAACAAGCACGGGACTTCCTAGGCTGTGTTGCAATTTTCTCGGAAGCACAAGCAGGCAAGATCTCCATTCTTGCCTTGCGCAGATGCGTGCAGAACGTTTGTAAGTAGCCTCCTTGCAGCTTTCAAGACACGAGGAGGCGGAACGCGCAGCGGAGCGAACAGGTGCTGGGTGCTGTGGCCGAAAAAGTTCAGAGGACGAAGAGCAAGGGAGCCAGCAAGTGGAGGGCATACATTTGTATGCCGAGCTGTCCGTTTCAAGAGAGCTGCATCCAGCCAAGTGTTCATGAGAGTTGCGTTCGATGAAAGACATCCGTGTAACGTGATGTACTCTCCATTGATCCGTAGCCTGGTTCCCGTAATAAGGCATCATCTCGCCACAGTTTGACGAGTGGAACCCGGTGAGGCCGGAGACCCGGTATGGAAGCCAGTGTTACAAGCAAAGCAGCACCTCATTGATCCTCACTGTTTGCCCCAATCAAACACTGTGAACCTCAATAGAAACTCGATTGAGGTGGTTTCATCATGATGCACACGGGCTGCAGAAAGAGCTGTACAAGCCGGGGTGCTCGGTGGAGCTCTGTGGGAGGGAAAGACTGCAAGAGTCTGCCGCGAAGGTTGCATGAACTCACTAGCCTGGCCTGCACATGGCGGGTTCAGCGTGCAAAAGTACCGATTTCAAAAGCGGAAGCAAAAGAATTCATGGAGCAACCGGGCTTTCTGCATGCCATCAGCGCTTGCGGCACACAATGCATCACAATCTGCATAGCATTGCCGGATCGTTTGGAAGAATTTGCAACTCAGGAATGCCACTGCCAGTGCCGTCACCGCACCGGCCTTATCCAGGTGAAAGCATTCATTACACGACACCAGGAGTGAGACAGGCTTCGTCAGCCGATGGGTATGAACGGTGCGCGATTTCGTGGCTTGACTCATAGTGCCAGCCTTGCGGTGAGGCCGAGCAGTTCTCTAACCTCAAGAAGTGGCGGCCCGACCGCGCTTTTCCGATAGTGCGTTTACAACGGCTCCTGCGGCTACGCCCCCCGTCCTGCCTGCGTGCATGCATATTTTAAGTGCGGTTGTTTCCGGAAATCAGGTAGACCCCACGAGGCTAAGCTAATATGTCTCTTACTTACTTCCTCAATCCTGGATTTCTCAGTTCAAACCCCGAAGCCTCAACCCCACAGCCCTACTGCAGGGCCCAAGTACTTGCCAATACTATTCCTTCGGTTACACCTGTCACAGTATACAACAACACCAAAGCCAGATTCTATTCTAGCTATGAAACTCCGACAACGGGCCTTTCGAAGCAAGCTTTGCTTTCCGAATTTCGATGCTGACCTCAAAGACCGTCTTCGAAGACGTGGAAAAGAAGGCAGGTCAGTTTGGGGAGTTGGTGTCGAAACCTAGATCCCAAATCGCCGCTTGCAGCAAGAGCCTCGCCTGGCATTTTGGGATGCGGGGAGGGTGGGGGGGAGCCAGAATATGAACGATTTGATTTTTCGCACACTCTCCTTTCTTTTGAGCTGTTAGTAACTGTTAGTACGGACCTCACGTCATCAGGGCATGGTGTCCTGGAAGAAGGGCACCTTCTGACTTTGGAAGACCTGCCGTGAGACCGATGTGGTCTTATGTACGGCTTCTTCTGTGGGTCCACGTAGCATGAAGCGCTTTGTTGTTCGAATCAAGGGTGATTCGCCCAAGCTGATAGAAACTCAACCGCTGTCCTTCGCCAGGATTGAGGGTGGCCCAGGCGGCTGGGTCAGCAGCAAACTTGCCTGGAACCCGGCTCGTTTTTTGATGGTTTTGAACTTTAAAGGCAAGCTTCTTTTGATTCCGACTTCAGTACTGGGTTCTGACTCCGGAGTTTGCATGCTTGCAACTCCTGTTGCGGAGTTCTTGGTTGGCATTGGCTCGGAGAGTGTCAGCTTAAGTTTCCGTGCGATTTGGGTCGAGGCTGCCATGGGTTACATGGAAGTGCCATGATCAAAGGGTCCCTGATTCCGTGCCCGGCGGGGAGACTGCACCTTTGCGCAGTTGAGCACAGCCACGGCTAGGACCAGAGGGTAGCCGCGCGGGCTCTGTCAGCATCTTGAACGGTGCGAAGTGCGACTCATTTGGCTGTTCAAGTGAACCTAACTGGGAATCCCGGCAAATCTTGCAGAACCCTCGGCTAGGTTCCTAGGTCCTAGACTTGGGAAATCTTGGGGAAGATTGTACTTCTGCAGGAGGCTGACGCGACGAGCATGCTAAGAAGACAAAAGCACCAAAAGGGGCCACTTTCCCACTGCCCCTCATCAGGACTTGGATGAAAAGTAGGATTGCAGAATTCGTTGAATGTTTGTGAAAAGTTTGTCCTTTCCAACCCGTGTTTCAAGAGACGGTATGTTGACAAGCAGAGAAACACCAAGAACGAGACTGGTTCTCTTCTCCATGCTTCAGAGCCGGCTGGCTTGTAAGACCCTCCTAGCAACACTGTCAGCTCGCACAGCTGGACTGTTTGCTGTGTTGTGCTCGCTTGAACAGATTGTCAACGACTACCTCAGCGAGAAAGGCCAAAAGCTCAGTGACTCGTTAGGTATTGCTTAGTGGATCCTAGTGGCGATAGTCGTTCCAGTCCACCCAGAGTGCAAGGTCGCTACGATCGGCGCTTGGAGGTTAAGGAAAGTGTCGCGAAGGACACTGCAATGCATCGGCACCGCGCGCACCAGCAATCCCCGGGCCACGATGCAAGATTCACACAGATCGTGAGCGTCGATTTGGCTTAAGACCCTGTCAAGAAGGATGGTGTTGGTTTGAGGCTTTTCGGTCGGGGGTGGAGGCCCTCGGAAGCTTTCGCAGGGCGTGAGTGGAGTCAGAGAACTTACTTACAGTAGACTTAAAGCACCAGAACCTCAATGGGCAGCCAGGCCCTACAATCACCAAAAGCGGCGTACAAGGACGAAGTGTTAGTGAAGCTGCCCCTGTCGCACGTTCTCTCCGCAGACTTCTGCCAGTGCTGGACTCGGAGAGTCGAACCACAGACGGGGGCGATGATCATGGTGGTGATGGCAATGCTGGCTGTGATGGTGAAGGTGATGACGGTGGTCTCAGGCATGAGTATTGAGTTCCGCGCCCTTTGACTGTGACAGTTCTTGTGGTTCTTGTTCCTTGTCTTCTGGGCTTGGCAGGATACCCTTTCCAATTGCAGTTCTCGTCAGTGTGCAAGCTACGACTCGCGCCGAGGCAGGACTTGACGGACCAGACGATTCGTCAGGCGGCGAAACCGCAAACTGCACATGCCCGCCAGAGTACGACTAGACTGTCTAGCATCGGCGCCCAGCCTACATACTGACATGCTTAATGCAAAAGTTCCAAGATACTATTCCCAACACCCTGTTCTGATTATTCAGGCCCCGAAAACTGACGCGATGTTCAGGTGGTCGATGCACAGAAGCGGAGTTCGGAACCTGTTGACATCGCTCCCTGGACCTGGTCCAGAGCTCAGGGCACAAAGGGTTCAATGCAGTCTCCTGCGTTTTCAAAGATGGGTTTCGACGGTATAGTTGTAGTACAAGTTGTATAGCTCCGTTTGGTATAGTATGTTTCCCAAACCTTGCCGTCATGATGATTAACTGGCCCACCGGGCCGTGCTCCGGCAACGAGCCTCTTCTAGCACGCCCTTGCCAGGATCACACTTTACACGCTGGCGCATGCGAAAAAGGATTCGTCAGCGCCTTCTTCGACAGGCAGTTTCGCAAGCTCGAATGACTTTCAGGAGGTTTCGCATGGCAATGTTGACAGAGGCCGTTCATTTGTTTCTGCATCTTTGCGTTGGGGTTGACTTTCTGATTTAATTGTCATCTTGGGTACACTGGTTTAGTCCTCCTGTGGGCAAGTCTGAATGGCATCAAACTTGGGGAGAACGCAGCACCTCGTAATGTTGTCTAGGTACTTCGCAGTTGTGCACTAATCTCATTGGCAATGGATGCAAGACGGGTTCTGGTTGATACACTTGCTTGAGCAATGTCGGCGTGGCCCGACCATTGCCACACATTCCGCTCCGAAGTTACAAAGAATCTCCTCCTTGCCTTCTGGAGCTTTGCACTGCCTCATTGTGCATCCCGCGCATCCAGGTTGACTACATTTCCAGCTCAGCCGTCCGTAGCCACGTTCTTGATGGCCACACCCCTCCTGCTCTCAAGCTGAGCAGCCGAATAACCAGTGTGTTCAGCAGGCTGGCGCTTCGACACTCTCCTAAAGCAAGAGTATGTCGACGCTGCTCTGTTGCGGCCTCGGATGGGTGATGGCACGTTGCCGTTGCACTGCATCACGAAACACGCTGCACTTGGGAATTGAACATCATTATCTTGAGGTCTTACTTGCCCCTGTTTTGGGACGATGCGTGGACCTGAGCGCTGATGAGTTTGGGGCTGATGAGGTTGAGGACGTGGGGGAGGGTTGTCACCAAACAGATGCCGAAGGGGTTGTCCGCAAACAGGTAGGTCCCCAGGAGGGGCTCATGTACCTCCGTACCCAAATTCTGATCGCCTTCTTTTATCCTGCAAGCCACGTTCCGGATTCATGGGAATGTACATGCTGCTACTTTCAAGGTTTGCTTCCTCAATCCGAGGGTGCGCACATGTGCTCAATGCGTGCGGGGGTCCTGTCCCGCAAGCTCACAGCAAGAAGTCACATTCTCTGGCGGATACATGCATGTGATTGCTCGCGCCTGCATTTGAAGGCTAGCCTGCACTGGCTGAACGGGACCGACCTGCTGAATGTCGAGGGCTTGAAGTGAAGCTTGAAGCCCTTGCGCACTCATGTGCTCGAATACTGCAGGGCGCTGCACTATCTAAGCTGCCTTGAATTTGTTTGTTACGACAGCTCAAGCACAAGAGCCTTAGGCGGGTCGTGCAGGTCCATGTTTTGGATGTCCACGCCGCAATCGAGCCCACAGCTTAGAGTGTGTTCACGCGAAGGAAGATGCTCATGAGTCTTCCCCTCGTCGGGCTGGGCTCAGATGAACTGAACTCTGATGCCAAGCCCGGAGTGGCGCCTTACCCCCACTTCCACAAGGACGGAGTACCACAAGCTCAGCTACTTGGTGCCCAGCATCGAGTCCTCGATCACCGTAGTGGAGCCTGCGGCTTGGATCCGGGACCTCGGAGTTTCAGTTCGAGCGGCAAGATGCAGTTTGGAAGCCTTGCCGGGGTCTGCAAGGCTTCAAGACCCACACACGCAGTAATTGCTGGAATGACCAACACCTTGCGATTCCAAAGCTTTGGCTCGAGCCAGCTGTAGAGGGCGGCAATGAAAGCCCATGACTTCTTAACTGCCCGGAATGCCCACAGACCTGCGATGATCGTAAGGCTCAGTCGAAGAAGCGCAACTTTCGAAATTGGGAAGTGTTGGTGGCATGACGCGGCGGGTGACTGTCGGGCTGCTGCTGCTTGTGGCTATTCCCCTGCTCGTGCACGCGGCCGAAGCGAAGATCCTTTGCTCAAGCCACTAAGGCACTGAAGGGATTGAGTCGACAGTTTGATGGGGGTGCGCAGACAATTCCGAAGCTAGGGTAGGCACATGACGGGACACTTTCAAGGGGAGCAACTTGCGAGTAGACCGGACGGCTTGATCCAATCCTTTATCCGATCCGCCTCTCAGGTGTGAGGCCCCCACAGCTTCACTTCGCAAGGTTCCCGCCAATGTGGCTGCCAAGGTGTCAGACTCAGGATTTCCAGGGTGTCATTGCTGCAGTCTTTGGTCCTCTTCTTCCCGCCACTGCCCTTGTTGCTGTCGATTCTGTACCTCCGCCGGATGGCTTTCGAAGTCACATCTCAACAAACCATGAAGGACAAGGCTGGCGTGATGCTGGAACCCGCTTGAACCAGGTGGCTTTCCTGCTATCCACCGGCCGCGGCGAGGACCCGCATGCACCCGCGAAGAGTCGCCAAAGCCTGTCGAAGAGCCCCGGGCCCTGCACGAGATCCTGCGCTTTAGTTTACAACCCGTCTTTGTCTTTGCTGTGGGGCCCGGAAGCCTCGAAAGTACGGCAGGAGGCGCAGAGGACCGTAGAGCTTCTCCATGCGAAGCATCACGTGTGTCTTGGCGATGAAGAGGTCCTTGGCTGCTCCTGCCCCCTCGAGATACTCCCTCTCGCAGATACGTCCTATGCGCCCCTCGAACGGTGCGGCCAAGCCTGGACGACTGGATCCGCGAAAGAAAGCTCAAAAACGTCTTCGTCATCTCGGATCCTGGGTGATCGATGTTCAGTTTGGTTGAGCCATTGATCAGGTCTCGACTGAGTTTTAGTAGCCGCGAGAAAGCGGGGGTCAGGGGACAGAGTGCAAGTTCACGGCTGCTACTCCTGGCCTGTCAGGAAAATTTCCCAACAGATGCCATCTGTCAACAATACAAACCTTGAGCCAGTCAGTGGCATTAGTCTTAGTTCGCTCTCGAGATGCAAAAAGGATTTCAAGACTACGCCATCAGCCTACATGGCCCAATGCCCAAAGGAGATGGAGCCGGATCAAGCACATACCAGCAAGGCGCGAGGTTGCTAGGGCCAGGTGGGTTCAGCTTTGGCGATGTTTGGCAAGAGGGTGTTTTGTCTGCAAGGGTGTATGTCTAGTAAGGCAAGGATCGGATGTACTACTAGGTAGCGTCTCTATGTTGGGCTCGCTTCTTCTTCTTCTGGAACTGCCGCAAGGTTTGAGGGTTTGAAGGCAGCAGCTTCTGCAGGACCTCCGCTTGGAGGCCACGCGCTTGCTCCTGGAATATCACAGCTGGGACTACCTGGTGCCCTGGCATGCAAACCTTGAAAATAAACAAATCATCCGGAACCAAGCATGAAACGAGCTGCTTGGCTCCTTGGCTCGGCATGCCACTTCAAGCAGGTACCTAGCATAACTCAGGAAAAAGAACCCCTGCAATGCCAAGTCTTTTGAGGTGGACCTCGCCTCCGGGGCGTGGCATCCAGCACACTCAGGGCTGCTCTCTCGGCCGGGCCATGGAGGGGGAAAGGAGGGGAGCTGTGTTCCTTGAGAACATGAAAGAGGGAGGGGAAGTTGAGCGGTGTTCCTTCATGAGAGCTGCAAAAAAGAGCTGCGTGGCAAAATGAAGCGCAGGGCGTAATCCAGTGAACGTTTGACGAGGTGGCTTGCCTTGCTGAACGGAACCAGCTTGGCATCCGGCAATGGTGGAAGCTTTGCTGTCAGCCGTGCCCATGCTGAGGAGGTCGCCGCGGAGAGGGGAGAGAAACGGAGAGATTGCAGAATGCAATGTGGCATGTGGGCTTGACTCATGGAGCCGCGCGAGCAGTGGCATTGAGATCGAAGTTGTGGGAGCTGTCGGGGTTTTGTTGGTCTTCAAGCTTTCATCTCCGAGGTTTCACTAGGTCTCTTCGCCCCCTCTTTTTGGGGCCCGGCAAAGGTCACAGCATCCCTGGATGCGCTGGAGCCGCGAAAGCTTTGGGCCAAGGTCCGGAGCTGAGCTGCGGCCAATGACCACAGACACACGCAGCCACACGCACTTTGGCACGGACGGCTTTCCTGCTTTTTCTTGGCGCTCCATCTCAGAAGAGACGACTTCTTTGGCACCTTTTGCTTTCCTTGAGGCCTCCTGGCCGGACTTTTGGGCACAGGCTTTATCGTCTGGCCAGGTCCCCAAAAGTCAGGCAAAGCTCATTTGACCACGGGCTGGCAGCGTGTGTTCGCATGTGTTTCTCGGGGGTGTAAGCAAAGCTCGGGAAGTTGTCGCCCACACCCCAAAGCTGGATCTTGAGCCGTGCTTGCAGTCTTCGGGCAGGGGATCCGGCCTTTCTTGGAGAGCCAGTCCAACATGAGCCAGCCGGCTAAGTTCTTGAATCTAATCTAATTGTCCAACTGAGCTCCAGAGCGTATCAGGTTCCGGGCGCAGGGGCCTATAGGGTTTTTGCTGTTTAGGCTTTATAGGTCTTATTTGTATTACTAGATGAAGGGATTCGGAAGCTCTGCTCTATTGTGATTCGGGCACCTGCAGACCTGCAAGACTGCCGTTGCCGGAGGATTGCACAAGTTCCTTGTGGTCGGTCTGTAGCTGCTAACGCTAACAGTTGCAACGATGTCGTGCGAGATTCAGGACAGCCGGGCATGCTGCAAACGTGGAGCATTGTGTCACCTGTGGAAGCGTATGATGCTGGCGATTCTTGGTTCTAAGACAGCGAGTAGGCAGGGTTTCCTGGGGCAAGTCCAGTTGCAGACGGGGCACGGGAGAGCAGCCCTTTTCTGGTCTGGCATGCCGACTCAGGAGAGCTTCAAAGCTTTGAGTTCGGACTGGCTGTCGCTCTATGCCAACCTCACGCTTTGGCTGGCCCACGCCCTCATGGCCAAAAGCCTCCTGGCTAAGGACCTTGGCTATGCTGCGTTTGGAGACTGTGATCTTTTTGCAACTATGCAACTGTCATGTAACATGAACCTTGCCTCACCAAGAAATGAAATCCGCACATTCACCAGCGAAGGCTCCGGCGACAGAGTGCAGTCAGTTGCGCAGGCGACATTTCGTTGTGGGCTTTGCGCAGGGTGCTATGCTTGCCTTCCCAGCCGAAATCGATCGCACAGCCAATTCAAAGCCCCACAGCATCTTAAAGCACCTGCATCATGATTAACCCCTCAGGACTGAGGACGTAACCGCGTTCTGGCGGAGCCCAGCTTGAATAGCAACCGTTTTGGAAGGTCTCACGGCGTGCCTTTGGCAGCCGACGAATCCGACGCACTGCCGAGGGCCTCGGGCGGCTTGCGGATGCCCTAACTGCGGAGGTGTGGTAGCTGAGCTGCGTCTGAAGAAGGTATAGTGAAGGTAGATTCAGATTCAGGTAGATAAAATGATATGGGCAGAGGAAGAGATCCGCTTCGGGGGGCTGATCTATGAGGATGTGGTACATTGAAGAGCTAAGTCTGGAGCTTTCAGTGGAGGTCATCTTCTCGCCAGCTGATGGCAAATGCGAGATCCAGGGGGCCGTCAAAGGACCATAATTTGACGGGGCCTGCTCGTGCCACTTATCAGAGCCACTAGTTGATGCTTATGCCAGCAATGGATGCGATACGAGGTTGCAATGCCGGCCGAAGGTTTCAATTTGGCTTTTCGCCGACGTTGCACAGTGGGGCAGGGTCTAAGCTTGGAGAAAGCGAAAGCACACTGCTGTGCCCAGCCTGTCCCAGCGCGATCCCATCAGCCTCGTCAGGACTCCAGTTGCATGACTGCCGCATTGATGCCGAGATCTTTTTCATGGAGCGGCTCTTCGTTGCGGACCCCTTTCCACCAGGCCAAGCCCTGGGTCACAGGCTGGACTGAACAACTTTCCAGGGCGGGACAGCAGCAATGAGCAAACGCACCTTGTTGCGTGGTAGGATCGAACCTTGCGGGATCTCTTTTCCGCATGTCTTCCGCGTCGGCACCGGCTGGGACGGGGATACTGAGCTGTCACGGAAGTGTCTGCTGGTGTTACTTGTTTTGACCTCAAGCCGGAAACCTGAGGATGAATTCCTGTTCCACGGCTTTGCCTCCTTGATCCCTGCCACGGCTACCGGTGACCTTTGGGCAGTGCTGATCCCCTTGGTGCTCGCAGCCTGACGGCGATGATCGAGGGCTCATGCTGGTAGGTAGGTGTGCGGCGTACGTGTGTCTCCCGAGGTGGAGCCCAAGGGGGAGAAGCCAGAGCACCCATGGTTCGAGCCGTTGGAGATCCGCTGGGTTGATGCAGAGGGCATGGTGCGCTATCGGGGTGGTGGCCAAGCGGTGCGGCCAGGCGCCATCTGGGAACGCTACTTGGGTTCGGCCCTTTCACCTGGTAGCTACACCGTGTCTGTGCACATCCGGCGTGGGCCTCTCTTGGCACAGCGATCCTTTGAAGTGCTTCCGGAAGACCTTTCCACGATGGAGCCGGCTGAGAGGTTGCGGCTCCTGCCACAGTACTTTGATTTGCTGGATGAACCCGAGCATCTCGGAGATCAAGGAACGCCGACAGCACAGCTGACAGGGACAAGCAGCCACAGCACTCGCAACACGGCCACCACTGAAACTACCACTGCCACTGACACCAGCACCACCGCCAGCACCACCATCAGCACTAGTCGGGAGCCAAAGATGCCCCGAAGAGACACTGTCAGTTCGCGCCAACCGCCAGAGCCAGGCAAGCTAAAGCCTGTCGGAGCGTCGGGGTCGGTTTTCAGGCCTGGCGCCATAGATCAGGAGTGGCTTCGAAAGGACCCCCCACTCCACACGGCTAGAAATAGGAATTCGAGGATTGCGAAGTTAGGATGCCTGCAGCAAGACTGGTTGATGCTTCTGCAGCTTCTGTCATCCACAACTCAGCAACAGGATGTGCAGCGAGCAGCTGCGCGAAGGAGCCGCGTCGCCCAGACGAGGATTGCTTAGATGAGGGATGCTTTTCAGGGGGGCGGCAGTTCCATGTGGTCCGGTCTTTGAGGAGTCAAAAAATCTAAAATCGGGAAGGATGCTGGAATGTTGCTGGCATGGAAAGGTCCTCGGCAGTGCCGCGGGCCACAGCTCACTCTGAGTCAACCCACGAAATTTGATCTTTTGTGCAGGACCAAGCCCAACACAGCTGCAGAGCGATGGCAGCGGGAAGTTGAGTGGATCCGTCGCGATGTCGCAACCTGGCTGTGCAGGAGGTGACGGGTTTGACGTTAAAATTTCTTGCGCCAGACGCGTGAGGCGCTTTGGTCAGAGCCTCGCAGCCTCACCAGCTTGCCTACACACGCAAGACATGTCTGAGACTGTGCTTGCCACGAAATGATGACATGCTCAGGAAACTTTTGCTCCGCGAATGCTGAAGCCGAAAGCGATGTCGACGACGCTGCAGAAGGACGTGCTTTCCGCTCCACAGAAAGAAGCATCCGCACCGCAGACCAAGGCGCAGGCAGGTTTCTTCCTGTTGGCCCGGGTCCACTGGACGGCTTCACAGGGGTGCTGTGTAAGCGAGAATTGGAAGCGAAGCTGTCATCGCCTATGGTGCCGTCGTACGATGCCCAGACCACTCCCAACAGACGGTGCTTGTGGTTGGAAGTGTAGCTCCTCGTTTTGCTTTCGTAAGCAAGTTTGGGCTAAAGGCACAAAACACAGTGCAGGGGAATGTGCTTCGCATTTCGCTGCTGGATGATTTTTTGTGCACTTTTCCACTTGCATGTCTCATGCCTACCTCTCTGACCCACCATGTAGCACATCTCCTTGCCGTAACGAGCTCAGATGAAATAGTGAGCAGCGTGATCAACCCTTCGCACTGCACAGTCGGACGATTCCCTACGTCTAGGGTCTAGGAACCTCTTATCAAAGCCGTCGGTACCTGAAGATGCTGTGAAGGTACTGCGGCAGCGCCGCGGCCCCCCGATGGACGCATCGGAGCGGCAACGCAGAGAGAAGCTTTGGATCGAGCAGGACTTAGAAGCGAGTCCTCGGAAGCTTGAGAGGAAAATCTGCGGTCCGTTCAGGAGACGCAGAAGCTGCGCGTTGCCAAGGCCTCAAGAGAAGTGAAGGTGTAGCCGGCACTCGGTCAAAAATTCGGTTAAATACGCTGGCCCTGCCGTTGGGGCACTAAGCAGGCAGCAGCCTCAGCAGCCAGCACCTTGCACTCGAAGGAGGAGGTGAAGGACCTCGCATTGTGGCTCACACTGCATGCTCCCTTGGCAGAATAATGGGCGCATTAGACAGGTGGTTACCGGATGTAGCAAATCTTCAGAGGAACCTGATCCCTGCGGATATTTTGCAGGCTATCCCGATCTTGTCGCGTCTAGTCTTTCTTTCCAGGAATGTCTGAATAGCTCACGAGATGTGTTGGGCAAGATACTGGATCACACTGGATTTGCTTGACTGTTTGAAGCCTGATTTCGCGGTCGGGCTGGGTCAGTGCATTTTCTCCACAAAGCCGGCTACGAAGTGTGAGACCTCATCTGCCTTGTCCGAACAGGAGCCAAGAAGCGTTTCTGGCCGCCTTCCCTCACCAGCTGCAGCCGAGAGCGCCTGGATTCGTAAGGACTTGGCCGTCCATGAGCCTTTGAGGCATCTTGGCAGTACAAAACTGCGGCACAATATGTAAAGTTATTGATTCCAGATTGATATAAAACTGACACAACTGTTGGGGTTTTTAGGGGTTTAAGCTGATAGACAGAAATGTGTAAAGGATTTGGGCCTCAACAAGTTTTGACACGAGGTTTATTTGGAACTTAGTTTTCCCGAATGCGCAGCAGAAGGG